TGAAAAACTCATTGCCTTAATAGTTAAGATGGAATCCCACCTAAGCCAGAGTGATGAGTCTAGATCCACTCTAAGAGGTTTACTTACCACTTTTCAATAGAAAAGGGCCTAGACTCAAACAGTTGGCACTTTTAAGATGGTAGCACAACTAGGTTCTTACAGACTAAGCTCTCAAGACAGAATCCTGCTAAAGACTGTGTCATTTTTTTTCCATGGAAAAGGACTCTTAACTGCCAGGCGCTCAATAAAAACAACTGACAATCTATGTGTTGCTAGTTGCCATCAAGTCAATTCTGACTCATGGCAACCTCATGTGTGTAGACTAGAACTGCTTCATAAGGTTTTCAAGAGTAGAACTTACACCATATAGTTTTCAAGACTGTGACCATTCAGAGGCGCCTCTGAGTGGGTTCAATTCACCAACCTTTCAGCTAGTGGTGGAGCACTTAAACATTTGCACCACTCAGGGATCCCTTGACAAACCATACACCACCACCCCAAACACAGTCACCACCTCAAGTATTCATTCATATAGGTTTCTTCCTAAATGGATGTAAAGAGACTGGCCCATGTCTTACTGTGTGTGCCAAGGATCGTATTAAAGACTTTCGATTTTCTCATGTTAGCAAGGTATGTAATATTGTTAGGTGCCCTGGTGACACAATAGTTAAGCACCTGGTCACTAACTGAAAGGCTGGTGATTTGAACCCACTCAGCAGCTCAGAGGGAAAAAGACTTGGTGATCTGCTCCCGTAAATATTACAGCCTAGAAAACTGTATGAGGCAGTTCTATTCTGTTACGTGGGGTCGCTATGAGTTGGAAATTGACTGGATGACAACTAACAGTAACGTAATATTGTTATTTTACAGGTAAAGAACTTGAGGCCCAGAGGTTAAGTAACTTGGCCCAGTTAAAGAACTGCTAATAAAACACACTGTTGTAGTTGTTAGTTGCTGCTGAGTCAATTCCAACTCACGGCGACCCACTGTGTGCAGAGTAGAACTGCTCCATAGGGTTTTCAAGGCTGTGACCTTTCGGAGGCAGATCACCAGGCCTGTCTTCCAAGGCACCTCTGAGTGGGCTACTGACTCTTAAACCTACTTTTTTTACTACAGAGTACAAAGAGAAAACTATACGATGGATTTAAAATTTTAAGAACAACTTCACTAATATACCACGTGAAGTCCAAAGCCTGAATAAATGTGTGTGTACATGTAACATTTTGGAGATGAGTGTGGCTTTCGTTTCTGTAATCTTTTTTTTTTTCCCCTTTATTGTGGTACATATATATAACAACAAATTTGTCGTTTTAAACCATTTTTGAACGTATAATTCAGTGACACTAATTACATTCATCATGTTGTGCACCCATTACCATATCCATTTCCAAGTTTTTCTTTATCCCAAACAGAAACTCAGTACCCTTTAAGCAGTAACTTCCCATTTCCCCGTGCCTTCAGCCCCTGGTCCCCCCCCAAAAAAAACGCCTGTTGCTGTAGAGTTGATTCTCACAGTGACCCTAAAGGACAGAGTAGAACTGCCCCATAGGGTTTCCAAGGAGAGGGTGGTGGATTCGAACTACCTTTTTGATTAGCAGCCAAACTCTTTTATCTCTCTGATTTATCTATTCTAAACATTTCACATAAGTGGGATCATACAGTGTCATAGTCATCTAGTGCTGGTATAACAAATACCACAATTGGATGGCTTTAGCAAACTTAAGTTTATTCTCTCACAGTCTAGTAGGCTAGAAGTCCAAATTCAGGGCGCCAGCTCCAGGGGAAGGCTTTCTCTCTCTGTTGGCTCTTGGGGAAGGTCCTTGTCATCAATCTTCCCCTAGTCTAGGAGCTTTTCGGCACAGGGAGCCCGGGTCCAAAGGACGCACGCTCCTGGCTCTTCTTGCTTGGTGGTAATGAGGTCCCCCTGTCTCTCTGCTTCTCTTTTTTATCTCAAAAGAGGTTGACTCAAGACACAACCTAATCTTGCAGATGGAGTCCCGCCTCATTAACATAACTGCCTCTAATCTTGCCTCATTAACATCATAGAGATAGGATTTACAACACACAGGAAAATCACATCAGATTACAAAAAGGTGGACAATTACACAATACTGGGAATCATGGCCTAGCCAAGTTGACACACATTTTGGGGGGACACAATTCAATCCATAACATACAGTATTTGTCCTTTTGTGTCTGGCTTATTTCACTTAGCATGTTTTCTAGGTTCATTCATGTTGTACACAGCACGAATCAGAACTTCCTTTCTCTTTACGGCTGAATAACATTCCGTTGTATGGAGACACCACATTTTGTTTATCCATACATCTGTTGATGGACACTTGGGTTGCTCCCACCTTTTCACGATTGTGGATAATGCTGCAATGAACAAGGATGTATCTGTTTGAGTCCCTGCTTTCAATCTTTTGAGTATATATCTAGGAATGGAATTGCTGGGTCATATGGTAATTGTGTAACTTTTTGATGAACCACCTATTTTCGATAGCAGCCACACTGTTTTACACTGTCACCAGCAAGGCACAAGAGTTCCAATTTCTCCATATCCTTGCCAACACTCGTTTTCTGTTTTTCTAATAGCCATCCTTGTGGGTGTGAAATGTCTAGGTTTACTTTTTAAAACTGAAATATAACATATAGAACAGTGCACAAATTACACATTTACAGCTCAATGAATTTTTAGAAACTCAATACATCTAGGTAACCAGCACCCTGATTAATAACTGGAACAGTACCAGCCCCTTTTATGCCCTCTTGCTAGGTCTGTGTTCAAAGGCAAATTTTAGTGTTTAGATCCTAAGTTAGTTGTACATCAGAAGCAAAAGGGAAGCAATGTTCATTTTCAGACTCAAAGATGGAAAAGAGATAAGGTTTAAGGCTCAAGAGGTACATTTTAAAAAATTATCTTTATTTGGGTTTCTGATTCAGCACATGTATCAAAGACTAATCAACATAAAGAAGTAAATAAGACATTAATTGGAAGTCTTACATCTCTCTAAACTCTGAGCAAGAATGTCAAGATTGCCACTAGTACCAGAACTCCAACCTAGTCAAGTTGTAGGACAAGCTATCATGAACATACAATGTGCACAGATATGCAGAGGCAAAAGACATGCTAGCACTCGGCTCTCCTCTTTTCCTGGTTGACGTCGTTCCGTTTGGCCGTCCACTTTTGCTTCACATGCTGAGTACCGACTAAAGTCCAGAAGAAAACTCAGGGCCAACCTGACCAAATACACATCCGGAGGAATGCATTCTTACACTGTTGTGCCTGCAACTTTGTTCTTGCCAGGATGAAGTTCAGATAGAGATGTACAATACAATCTAGATGACAGTGCAGACTAAGAGCTAAAGTTGCAGTGACCGAGTTAAGGCATGAATGCGCACACACATGTGCACACACACAGCACCCACGCTAGCTTGAACCTTGTATTCCTTCAATCGCCAAACAAGAGGCAGTTAATCACAACTGCTGAGCACTGTGGACAATGCTCTCCATAATTTTAGGCTAAAGGCTGTGTGTGTATGTGTTATCAAAAGAAGGAACTAAAAAAAAGAAAAACCCTAAAAACCCCTTTAATCTGTTTCAATGGCTCTTGAGCATGGGAACTTATGTAGCAGCGTCAATGGCTGGCTCTTTAATAATTTGGAAATAAAATGTTGTTTTACTATGTTTCTTTGGTAGTCATCACTAAAAGTTTTCGGTGTTGGTTACCTATAAGACAACTACTAGACAGAAGATTAAGCTACATAGAAATATTTCTTCTGTACTGATGAGATAAAAATATTCAGCTCCCAAAGCACAAGTTACTATGCTCTTTCTTGTCTTATTGGGCATCCTCTGCAAGCAAGGCTTCATGCAGGAAAAGTTCATGTCTACTTAAAGGGAGATACATTTTCTACCTTCCTATAACTGAACAGTTAACGCAAATTCACATTGTCAATTACTTCTGGTCAAATCATTCTGAAGCCAATTACAAAGGGGCAGCAGCACTTGGTGTCAAAGCCACATTCTGGTCACACATTCATTCCATGGTTGCTGGTAAGTATCTCAGGAGCTCAGAATTTAAGACTCCTTTCAAGCAACAAAGGAGCAAGTTAAATTAAATCTTAAATCCTTCCACCATCTGCCAAATTTCTAGATTCTGTCCAGACGGCCAGCATGCTTGATGAGAGAAAGCAGTTCAGAGCCCAGAGAGGCGTCAGGTATTAGGTACGTTAATTTGGTTTTGTACAAAAGGCATGGTAATCTGGCAACGGAGTACTTGTTTTATTAGCAGCACAGTGGTAGCCAAGGGTCTCCATCAGCAAGACAGGCAAGTGGGGTGTCCTGAAGTTACAGTTGCTCCTGCCTGCCCTCGTGATGGCTACTGATCTTACAAAGGCCTTCTGGAAGTCAGTCCAGGGCTAACCTGGGCGAGTGGACAACAGGAAGAGCAGTAACTGTGTTCAGCCCCCATGAGAAGTGCCCTGAGGTAAGTCAGCTTCCCACAGGTGAGGGGTCTCTTGCCTCTATAGGGTCAGATTTAGAATCTTATGGGTCCTTGGTGACTAAACAACTGCCAAGAAATTGTCCTAGCAGTTACTGACCAAACGTTACGGGCTCCACGCGGGGTCATAAAACACTCTGAAAGAACATGAAACAACCTCCGAGACTATGGCCCTTAGTCACCCCCCTGACTTGGATCTGAAGCCACTCCCGGAGATCACCTTTCAGCCAAATAACAGACAGGCCAATAAAACAAACAATAACACCCATGTGGAAAGCGCTCCTTAAAACAATCAACTATACGAGAACCAAAAGGGCAACATCTGCCCAAAAGCAAAGATGACAAGGCAGAGAAAGGGGCAGGAAAACCAGACGAATGGAAATGGGGAACTCAGGGTGGTGATGGGGAGAGTGCTGACTCATTACAGGATTGCAACCAATGTCATGGAACACTTTGTGTATAAACTATTGAATGGGAAACTGATTTGCCCCGTAAACTTTCAAACAAAACAAACAAACAAACTTTCACAAACAAAAAGAGATGGAAAATTTACAGGAAAAAATGAATGCCATGAGGCAGGTCAAGCAAGAAGCACAGGCCTGGCATACAGTAAGCGCTCAACAAATGTTAGCGGCAGCTATTGCTTCCGAAAAAAAAAAAAAAACATGAAACATCATAAATTCAAACCAGTAGTGTTTTGTTCTATCAATTCTGAATGTCCGCAGGGGTGCAGTGACTAGATTTAAGGTGGGAAATGGCTGTTTGAAGGAGCTGTGTTTTATTTTGAAGTGAAATGACTAGGGGAACGGGCACTACATTTTAGCAGAATGTCAAAACTGTCTCTAAGAGGCATTTATCAGAAGCTGTTTGCTCAGTCCAGGTGCTTTTTCATGCACCATATGGCAATGTTTTGACTTTTGTGCTTTCAGGGGGTAACTAAATGGATAGGAAGCTGAGGGACGATCACTACATTATGGATTTTTGCTTGAGTATAAGACGCTATCCAACAGCACTGAAATCTACAATCTCATAAAAGATTCTTGTAAACATATACCATGTTTCTCCTATAAGAAAAACCGAGAACTGTACCATGAAGGCAAAATTTGTTTGCCTACTCTCAGAATTCCTCGGAATGGCAATGTACCGGGGGGGTCAGTGGGCTGTTGGCGGAATCTCTGGGTTTGACACGACCCAGTCTGATTGTATTAAAAGCCAAAAGCCTCAATAATTAAACACCAAACTCCTTCCCTGTATATGAGAACTGTACTATGATTATGTATATCACACACACTATAAATAAAATTTATACAGACGTACAATTTCTTCCAAGCAATTGAAGAGTGACATTCTCAGTTTGGGGGTAGAAGCAGGAAGAAGTGGAAAGTCCTATTGTTGCTTTTATTCTCAAGTTCTTAAAATGCTAGTCAAACACTATTATCCAACAAGACTTTTTTCATTCTGGAACTCTTAAATATGTATCTGAAGGCAAAACTGGAGGTTTCTATACTGTACAATATTAAATATCTACAATGTCATGGTTCCATATTTTTAGAAGTGTGTTCAATAAAGAGTTAATTAGAGACGGTTGTCACAAAACATGGACTCTTAAAAATTACTGATAAATTAATTTTCAGCTCTGATTATATCCAACAGATACACATTCTCATCATAAAATATACATTCTCTAGTAAGTTATTTCCGTCCACAGCATATATAAATACGCAAACACAGGTGGTAAAAATCACTTTACTACCAAAGTACAAAACAAGAACTGCTGAAAAATAAAGATGTTGCAAGTTATTAAGAAAAGAGTGACTCACAGTGTTTCACGTCAAAGTGAAACCAAATGATTTATTTGTGCTAAATGAATGCAAATAATGTATTCAGAATATACTTCTTTGTACACCGCGCTTGCTTTATACTGGGTGAAATAAGCATTCATCGATGCTAATGTGCTCCTTTCCTCTATATCTCTTTGCTTTTCTGCCAAGCAATACAGTATTTTGTGGCCATTATGCCAAGATATTTCTATAATGCTCATTTCAAATAGCATTTACTAATAGTATTTTTGCATCTTTAAAATATTTGTTCGAACTCTACTTTAGGGAAACACAAATAAAGAATGGAAGGGGAAAACAGCTGTTTTTGTTACAATCACATTGCCCTCGGCAGCAGAAATCAAATAGCACATTCTAATCAGCCACCAAAATTGCTGGTAGGGGGATAACATTTATCGACTCATGTCAGAGGGGGCCAGTTCAGGTAACATTAAAGATGATGGAAAGAACCACATCTTCATATACAATAACCATGTGATCCATCACTTCAGGCTCTCTATTTTACAAGAGTTTCAACATGGATGTCAATAGATACTGTAAAAAGTGTATCTGTAGAAAGCTCTGTTAAACAGATGTTTTGGGCACTGATTCATCTAACTTTCCATTCTACATTGAAAGCTAGATTTTTCAAAGGTGAGAATTGTAGTGCTGAACTACTGGATGTTTGGTAAACACCATTATGATGGGGGGTGGTGGGTGGGTAATAACAGCTCAGTAATTTTCTGCAAATTTATGAAAAAAAAATATAAAAAAAGATATCCCTTTTTATTTTACAAATCTAAAAGCCAGGACAATGAAGCTCTGGGGCCAAGCTAGAATTGCACACTGCAGCTGATTACCAAATATCGAAGAGCAAATGTTCCAGCCAGGGAATGGACATACATGGAGATTCAAGTAAAACACTGATGGAAAAACTCGTCTGGTTAGTGTCGCCGACCCACAACACTGGCTGCGTTTCCAACATACATTTACAGCACAATTAAGAGTGAAGCCTAGATAACCTCAGTGCAAATAAGTCAGATCCAAATATGCCAGGGAAGGAAGCCTTTGGCGTTGAGTAGACGGCTCCATTTTACAAGTCCCAACTTAAAATTCAGACTAAGCACATGCATTAAGGCTGGGAGGAGGGGTGCACCGAATGTTGCGAAGGGGCGGGCTGCGAGGTGGCTGCCGAGGGGACCGCAGGCTGCATGGGTGGCGGAGGCGGAGGTGGAGGTGGCTGGACTGGGGTCTGTGTGTTGGGAGATGGAGGCGGCGTGGGCCGTTTGAATTTGTCAGGACTGTTGCTTCTCCGTGGTGAAGGCCTCTGTGGAATGGACAGGAACAGCAGGTTAGTCTAGGTACAGACGGCTCGTTTCTAACACAGCCTGACACAGAGCTGAGGCGTGTGAAAATTCACTGACAAAGACAAGAAACTAGGGGTTTCCTCACCCATCCCTACTGGTTTCCGAACTACGTAGTACTGAACACCTAAACAAGGTTGGGCTAGCACCTACAGCTATGAAAAAGCTATGCAAAATTACTATAAAACTTGCACTGACCAAACTGCTGCCCCTGGGACCCATTTTAGAGCTGTGGTTATCCTGGTGCATGCCTATCATTGAATTTCAATAAAACCGTAAGACAGGACAAATTCCAAGAATCAATAATGTTAATGGAAGACACTTGCATTTCCCTAGGAAATACAAGAAATTTTCATGTTACAGACCATCAGAGACTTCTTTATATGGTCAGACTAGACTGAAGCGAGACCTTCGTTTGGACAGTATGTCAATTTTTAAGAAACATACACATATACATGCAAGAAGAGAGCAAGCACAATGGTTAATCTGGGTAGGAATCCATGCTTCAGCACATACCAACTTTGTCTCTTTGGAAAGCAAGTTTCTAAACTATTTGTGCCTCACTTTTCTCATCTTTAAGATAGCTCTCATCTTGTTGTAAAAATTCAATGAGAATGTAAGCCCATCAGGGTAGGGAACAGGCCCAATTTCTTCCCCACGGTATCTCCAGGCTCAGTATAACGCCTGGTATATGGTAGGTGTTCAAGATTTTGCTGAATGAATAAATACATATCAGGCGTTTACGTGCTCTTGGCTTACTAGGTAGTTAAGTACTCAATGAATAGCTATTAGCAAAAGAAAAAATCATTATTACTTTCCACAAAAGACAACTAATTTTTAAATTACAAAGTTAACTGAAAATAATTCTTCGTACCCAGAGAATTTAAAACGAGGGGAAAATGGGACAATGACTCACCTTCATCTTGGGACCAGAAATCAATTACTGAGAAAGATACCCCTCAGTCAAAGGGTGTGTATCTACAGTGCTATTGCTTGACATTAAATGCCAAAATGTAAGACAGTAGTTCTATAAAGCTTCAGAAAGGATACTTGATTAGTAACTTTAGTTTTTCCTGTCTGCTTTGGGAAGCACAAGGCTCTCTCTTCTCTTCAGTCAGACGATTGGAACAACCATAGGCCTCCCTTACTTTGAGCTCTGGAAGAGAAACATTCCTAAATTACAGCAGAGGAAATGCTATGAGAGCCTCAAGTATCTTCGTTATTCTATGTATGCCTACACCGAAGGCCAGATATGCTCTGAGTATAGGCACCACCTCCCTAAGTTCTAGTATACAGAGAGCTGGGAAACCATTTGGATGTTAAACATTTTACTGATTCCATTCTTTAGGATTTATAAAAGAATGCTAAAAAAAAAAAAAAAAACACCAACAAAAACCCATTGCCGTCGACGCATAGCGACCCTACAGGACACACTACAACTGCCCTACAGAGTTTCCAAGGAGCAGATGGTGGATTCAAACTGCTGATGTTTCGGTTAGCAGCCGAGCTCTTAACCACTGCACCACCAGGGCTGTCAAATGGCTTGGTTTTCTTGTTTTTTTAATCTAGTTTTCCTTGATACTTCCACTTTCAAGAAAAAGTGATCCTACAGAACTGTCACCCACAGAGAGAAATAAAAAGTAACCAACTTGACCTAAAAGATGCAAAATACTTGCCTCCAACTTACAATGGTTAACTCTCAACATATCATGGTTTGCAAAGTCAGCTGTCTATAGAAAAACAGAATGGTTTCTATGGGAGGGATTAATGAAAAAGTTATACTGTGCCTACAACAGAAAAGAATGTGGGGAATACGCTGAGACTTAATATTGTTTTGTATGGTCCACAGGCTAAGAATAGTTCTTACATTTTGAAATGGTTGAAAAGAGATAAAAGAGAATATACATGAAATGTGAAAATAATATGAAATTCAAATTTCAGTACCCATACAAAGTTTTATTGGAACACAGGCATGCTGATGCATTTACACATTGTCTGTGGCTGCTTTTGAACAGCAATGTCAGAATCAATTGATGGAAACAGAAAGTTTGATCTCATAAGTCATAGTTTTGAGAATCATGGGGTTTTTTGACAGCGTAATTCCCATGATTGAGGAAGAATTATATTAATAGGAAACTAATGACAGAGACCCACACAGCCTAATAATGTATACTATCTGGCCCTTTACAGAAAAAGTTTGCAGACCCCAGGCTTACAGTGTAGCTTAATACACTTACTAGGAATGAATAGTAAATAGTGAATCCAATAACAGAATTATACCATATTGCACTACTTTGAGGGAGATTATGGATTTTTTGCTAATAAATACTGAACTACTATGTGCCTTCCACTGTGCTAAGCAATTACATATAAATAGATTCTTAAGAACTATTTTAACTGACTTCATTATCACTTCCCACTTTGTTGTTGTATTGCTAGGTGCTGTCGAGTTGGTTCAGACTCATAGCGACCCTATGTACAACAGAACGAAATACTGCCCGGTCCTGTGCCATCCTCACAATTGTTGCTATGCTTGAGTCCACTGTTGCAGCTACTGTGTCAGTCCATCTTGTTGAAGGTCTTTCTCTTCTTCACTGACCTTCTACCAAGCATGATGTCCTTCTCCAGGGACTGGTCCTTCCTAATAACAAAGTATGTGAGACGAAATCTCGCCACCCTTGCTTCTAAAGAGCATTCTGGTTGTACTTCTTCCGAGACAGATTTGTTCGTTCTTCTGGCAATCCATGGTATATTCAATATTCTTCACCAACATCATAATTCAAATGCTTCAATTCTTCTTTGGTCTTCCTTATTCATTGTCCAGATTTTGCATTCACATGAGGCAACTGAAAATACCATGGCTTGAGTCAGGAGCACCTTAGTCCTCAAGGCGTCATCTTTGCTATTTAACATTTTAAAGAGGTCTTTTGCAGCAGATTTACCCAGTGCAATATGTCGTTTGATTTCTTGGCTGACGTTTCCATGTGCGTTGATTGTGGATCCAAGTAAAATGAAATCCCTGGCAACTTCAGTTGTTTTTTTCCATTTATCATGATTGATGTTGCTTATTGGTATGGTTGTGAGGATTTTTGTTTTATGTTAAGGTGTAATCCATACTGAAGACTGTATGTAGTCTTTGATCTTCATCAATAACTGCTTCAAGTTTTCTTTATTTTCATCAAGTGTGGCTGTGCCACCTGCATATCACAGGTTGTTAGTGAGTCTTCCTCCAATCCTGATGCAGTGTTCTTCTTCATATAGTCCAGCTTCTCAGATTATCTGCTCAGCATACAGATTGAATTGAATAAGTATGGTGAAATGATACAACCCTGATACATACCCTTCCTGATCCCAAACCATGCAGTATTCCCCCTTGTTTTGTTTGAATGACTGCCTCTTGGTCTATGTACAGGTTCCTCATGAGCACAATTAAGTGTTCTGGAATTCCTATTCTTCGAATGTTATCCATAATTTGTTGTGATCCACAGAGTCAAATGCCTTTGCATAGTCAATAAAAATCTTTCTGGTATTCTCTGCTTTCAACCACGATCCATATCCGCAATGGTATCCCTCGTTCCACGTCCTCCTCTGAATCTGGCTTGAATTTCCGGCAGTTCCCTGTCAATGTTCGGCTGCAACCATTTTTTAATTACCTTGAGCAAAATTTTACTTGTGTGTGATATTAATGACATTGTTTGATAATTTCCACATTTCATCTTAATTTCATTATAATTTCATTATAATGAAATGTGCAAAAATCTGGAGTTAGAAAATCGAAAGGGAAGAACATGCTCAGAATTTCTTAAGCTGAAAAAACTGAAGAAAAAATTTAAGCCCCGAGTTACAATACTGCAATATTGAAGGATTCTATGGGCAAAATATTGAACAATGCAAGAAGTATCAAAAGAAGATGGAAGGAATACACAGAGTCACTGTACCAAAAAGAACTGGTTGACATGTTTAACCATTTTGACAGGTAGCATCTAATGAAGACTCAGTGGTATTGAAGGAAGGAGTTCAAGCTGCACTGCAGGCTTTGGCGAAAAACAAAGCTCCAGGAATTGATGGAATACCAATTGCGATGTTCAGCAAACGAATGCAATGCTGGAAGCGCCCGCTCTTTTATGCCAAGAAATTTGGAAGACAGCTACCTGGTCATCCAGCTGTAAGAGATCCATATTTGTGCCCTTTCCACCTTAACACCCTATTTCATATGAGACTTTGATCTGACAGCTATAGATTCGGGAATCGTGTTTTGTTTTTGTCCCCTAAGAAAGTTAATACCTGTGTTCAAAAAAGAAATTAGGTTAACATGAAACTAGCAACGGCAAACACAGAATTATCCAGGAAGACTCAACTCAGATGTGTTTGTCTTCACTCTCAGGGGCACCTACAACCTCAAATGAGCCTCCCCTGGTCTGAGAGCGTCCAACGAGCATGTCCTGCGGCATCTCCCAGTTCTATCTGGCTCTTCATCTCACATTAAACTTTTGGAATTCACGAAATGCTAGATATCCAACTGCAGATGAAAGTCAATCCATCAAGGATAAAATACAAATGCTAGCCCGTACATTTGTTCAGTTTCGCTCCGTGCTTTTCAGCCACCTGGTGAACATAAATGGTGCCTGTCCAGGGGGAAGAAAAACTTGTGCGAATGCCTTGAAGAATTTCCTACTGGCTGGCTACCATCCATTCTTTCCAGAGCAGTAGTAAGGTTTACAGGTCCTGGGGCTCCAGTTTTCCTGCACAGAGACTATCAACCTAGGCCAGTGATTCTCAACCAGGGGACATTTTGCCCCCATCCCAACAACCCCAGTGGACATTTGGCAAGATCTGGAGACATTTTTGATTGTTACAACTTGGGGCTGCTACTGCATATAATGCGTAGAGGTCAGGGATAAGGCTAAACATTCTAAAAAGCACAGGATAGCCCCCCACATCAAAGAATTCTCCAACCCAAGATGTTAGTAATGCCAAGGCTAAGAAACCCTGACCCAGACTCTGAACAGATTTTAGAAACCCAGTATGGAGACTCAAGAGTTGAAAGGGAGCTCATGAATCGCCTCGTTCAATCTCCCATGCAGCACAGGTCTTACATACGCTGTTTCAACTACAGTCGTCAGATCTGCTTGAATAACTCCTGTGATGGGGAGTTCACTATCATGAGGCAGCCCCGTCACTGCTGGTTAGCTTTGATACAACTTCCTCTGTAAGTACTGTCTATGCTCTGGTCCTAATTCTATTCTCAGTAGCAACCTAGGACAACTCCATTCCCCCTTCGACATGACAGTCCTAAAATTTAAAAAAAAGACAGCTGTCATGTCATCCTGTTAAATCTTTTCTGCCAGCCATACATGCCCAGTTCCTTCTATCATTCGTCTTGAACAAGGTTTAGCCCCTTTCAATACCCTGAAAGGTAGAGCTCAACAAAAAAAGTTCCCACTTTTACAGAAAGTCCCTCAAGCTGGCAAAACAGCTTCAGAATTATCTTAATTGCTTTTATAGAATAGAGACCTTCCTTTAAATATTCTCTTTTGGGAAACACCCTCAATTCTTGCCTGTCCTGTAACCTGTGTCAGCTACATTTCTGAAGAAATAAACTCCTTTGAGTGGAATGTGTAGATGCACTTAAGATTCCTTCTAATTCTGAGAGAGAAAATTCTAAGTAAATCTGGAAACAAAGCTAATATTAGGAATTATGTTGAGGGTCAATGACCAGTGAAGGTGCAGTTATAAATATTTTTAGACAATGGACAACCCACAATAATTCTTTACAGCAAGGACTTCAACTGAGGCACTGGCCAGATTTCAAACTACATTTCACAAAGGGCAATTTTTCACAAGAAGTGAAGTTGAAGTTTTGCCTCCTGGGAAGGATTTCAGTTTCAACACTCCAGGATTCGGTATCAAACAGTTGGAAAGCCTCTCTAGTTTGAAGGTGAACAATGAATGAGAGAGGAAGAAAGGTAAATGTCTCAGGGCACCAATCCTGATCTCCCAAGGAGGACCAGTTGGTACCACCCTCAGGAGTAAACTGCTGCTTCTACCCAACGAATACTTACTGTGATGCCATGGGAGGCTCCCATGTGCTGCACGTGAAGGCCCGGGGAATTGTAATAAGACATTCCGGCTCTAGTCAGTGATGTTGGTGGCGTGAAACCAACTGTGTGACTTGCGTATGATAGACCTGAAATATAACAACAAATTATTATATCTAACTCTCAACAATAAAGATCCACGAATATGGCACTCAATTATCTGGTGTTTCCAGCTGTTCAGGAGGTTTGAAAATGCAAAAGTTCTCCATCATCCAGAAAAATGTAAGTAGACAAGAAGAGCGGCGGGCTCAAGAATGGCCCACTAGATGACAGGGGATAGAAAAGTCAAGACCTGCCAGGACACAGCTTCAACTGTGAGGTATGGAAGGAATGGGGAGAAGGAGAAGAAACAAGAATAAGGTAGAAAAAAGAAGAGAGCAAGCGGGTAAAAATGAGATGCAAGAAAAGGGGATGTGTCCAGGATCCAACCCTTATACTATATGGAAAAATCAATTCAAAACAGATCAAGAAACTTAATCTGAAAACTAAAACCATAAAGTTCATAGAAGAAAATGTATGGACGAGGCTGCAGGACCTAGGTTTTTGTGATGGGCTATCTGGTAAGACAACAAAGCACAAGCAGCCAAAGCCAAAATAGACAAATGGAACCTCATGAACAGTAAATAGGTCTGTGCATCAAAAGATTTTATCTGAAAAAAATGAAAAGACAGCCTACCGAGTGGGAGAAAATTTCTGGGAATCATATATTCAATAAAGGTCTAATATACAAAATTTATGAAACACTCCAAAACTTAACAACAAAAAGACAAACAAGCCAAGCAAAAAATGGGTGAAACGTCTCCTTGAACAGACATTTCACCAAGGGGGATATTCAAATGGCCAACAAGCACATGAAAAGATGTTCAAAGTCATCAGCCATCAGGGAGAAGCAAATCAAAACCACAACAAGATATCATCTCACCCCCTTTAGAATGGCAATGATCCAAAAACAAACCAGAAAATACTAGATGTTGGTGAGATTGTGGAGCAACAGGAACCCTCATCCACATTGCTGGTGGGATTATAAGCTGGTATCACAGCCACTGTGGAAAAGAGTTTGGCAGTCCCTCAAAAAGTTGAACACAGAATACCATATGACCCAGCAATTCCACACTTAGGTATATACCAAGCAGTGATACCAACAGACATACGTACACCGATGTTCACTGCATCACTATTCACAATAGCCAAAAGGTGGAAACAACTGAAATATCCATCAACTGATGAATGGTAAACAAAATATGGTATATACATAAACTGAAATATTTCTCAGCCATAAAGAGAAACGAAGTCCTGATGCATGCCACAAAATGGATGAACCCAGAAGACATTATGCTGAGTGAAATAAATCAGACACAAAAGGACAAATACTGTATGATATCACTTACATGAAACAAGCAAATATATCAAAACCATAAGTAATTAGTGGTTACTGGGATGGGAGGGAGGGAGAAAGTAGGAGTTTTTGCTTAGAATGCATTGAATGTATGTTAATGGTGGTGGGATAATTTGGCAAGAATGGTTGCACAATTTGAAGACTGTAATTAATGCCACTGAAGGGTACATGTTGAAACTGATGAAATGTATGGTTTTTTGTACATAAATCACTGTAATAAAAGAGAGAAAAGGGGAAGTGTCAAAAGACATACCAACAAAACGAGGTGTGTGTGTGTGTGTGTGTGTGTGTGTGTGTGTGTGTGTGTGTGTAGCAGCCATAAAGGCAAAGAAAAATCACTACTGAGAACTTGGCAACTTGAGGCTATTCACTCAATACAGGGAACAAAAGCCCTACATATGCCAATGCTCCCTGATAAAGAAACAGATATTTAAGGAAGAAACAATCCCCAGTTTACTATAATATTCTGCATAGTCATAATGCAGGGCCCCAGAATCATCTCTAAAGTGTTTTAAAAATAAGCATGCCTAGACTCTCCATATGATTCAATAGGTCTGGGATGGGGTCCAAACATCGTATTTAGAAAAAGCTCTGAAAGCAATTGTCACCACATGCCTGCCTAGCCACCTCTGGTCTTTGAAGAGTTGAGTGCTGATGTCTATGCTCATCTGAGGCATCACTTACTTGTCACTACTTGAATGTAGCTGTCTTCCCATCTTTGAGTTCCCAACATTTACCAGAGTATCTAGCACTGGGTAGATTCCATAATATTTACTGAACGAATGGAGTAAAAATGGAAATGAAGAAGCAATTTGGGGGAGTTTGGATAGAAACTACCTTTGTCATCACTTTGTAACCAAGATCAGCTGTTGGATGGCAAGCAAGGTGAACACCACATACCTCTTTACTGAATTATGTGAAAATAGGGAGCTGCCAAGGGCTCTTTTCTGTACTGTATTTCAGCTTCCAGCATTAAGACATGCAGCCACCAGGCCTACCTATAGTTGCTGTGTCGCAGAACTCTTCTGTGCCCTCGACATCTAACACTAAGCGTTTCATAGTATTTCTTGGTTTGACTTTCAATTCATGGCACTTTCCATTTGACATATTTCCATTTCCAACTGTGGATTTTTGCTTCACATTTGCAAAATGAAGGTCTGGGGTAAAGTACACATCCTTGGGGGCCACAGGGTCATTTAATGCAATGTTTATTTGTATCACAAGGACTTCATTCAGCTGGGACAGGGAAGAAGAGGTTCTCTGTCAACGTCTTTGGGAAATACAATCCTAATTCTATTTCTTATGAAAGTGGTGAAATATAAAAGGTTATGAAAGTAGATCCTTATCCACAAATAAAGCAGCTCATAAGGTTCAAATGATAATAAAAAAATATGATCAGTCTATTTTCTAGTATTGCTGGTTAATGTTCCTCAAGAGTAATTAAGAATATGCAAAGCTGCTAATCAAGAATCTTCAAAGATCTCTACTGTCATCTTAACTTAAAAAAAAAAAATCTCTGGTTGGTATAAAAGGCTCTACGTTTGGCTCTAGACTATTTTCTGATGCTCTAGCTCAGGAGTTCTCAGTAACGAGCATCAAAGCCCATACCCGGCTCCAAGCCAAGTGCATCAGAACCTCTGAGCAGCAGGGCCCCAGCGCAGCCAGTGCTGAGAACCAAGGTGATCTCCCATCTTATCCTGATTCAGACCTCTATGTCTCCATCCGTACTGTGCCCTTTACTACAGTCCTTGCTGCTTCCTTCCCCCAGTGTCAAAGTCAATCGGTATCTCATTCATCCTCTGGAGAAGCAAATCACCCAGACTCTGGAGCCAAACTGCCAGGCTGTCTTGGATCCCAGCGCTGCCACTTGGTACTGAGTAACGGTGGATGCGTCAAACTCGCTGTGCTTTAGGTTCCTCAGTGGTAAAATAGGATAATCGCAGCTACGTCACGAGGTTGTTGCAAGGATGAAATGAATTAATTTCACAAAGTTCTTAGCGACTGCCTCGCACAAAGTAAGTGCTCAATTAGTTTTAGCTCATTAACCCCCTTCTTCAACGCCCATTTCAAACCCCCTGGTAGCTCTCTCTTTTTTGAATGTCTTTTTAAACTATTTAGCTTTTCTTTTGAATAGCTTTTCATTCTGAAATAGTATATGATTCACGAGAAGTTTCAAAAATACTACAGAGAGCTTCTGTGTACCCAGCCCTGCCCCAGCCCTAGAATCACCCATTTCTCCAAGGAGCCCTGGTTCCTTGTACTGGAGAAGGGGATTAGAAACCAAGATCTGGACACTGGGTGTGCTTGCTGCTATGGATCAAGACACTTTTTAAAATTCATTATTCCCCACCTCTGATTTAGGCATGTGCTAACTGGGAATGTCCTTCTCTCGGATGGCATCAAATAGTAACATCTTCCCCCAAAAGAAGAGCCTATATATCAAGAAGAGGATCTTTCAAAAGTTCTAGAAACATCTTTCAATCAAATTGTGAAATGTCTGAAAAAATATTTTAAGAATTCGGTGAATGTGCAAGATTTCCATGTCAACCAAAAATGGGAGAGAGGAAGAAGAGCCAAAATGCTTAAAATGGAAATGAAAACTATACACAGTGTATTCCCACTGAGAAAGTGATTAGACATTCTTAATACTGCAAACCATAATCTCTTCCAACAAAAGCTAATGCAAAAAGAAAACCTGAATATTCAGGTTTTGCTGATCTACCACGTATAACACTGTAACATACTAGATGAGAAAAACAGTAATTCTGCCGCCATATAGGAGATAAAATTGACTTTGATGATATTGCAGAACTTCAATTATGATAAAATTGTTCTCACTTAGGAACACTGAAAGGAAAAGGTACATAGGTGTTACTTATTACACATTTTAAAGAAAAACAACAACTTGTACATACACGCACCCCACACACTCGAAGTAGGTTCTACTATGGGAGAAGGTGCAATCCAAGTCAAAATTATGGAAATGGAGTAAGATTTTCTTGCAGACACTTGTTATAAGTAATAATCCAAACCAAGGTGTGATGTTCAGTTTTGTTTTGTTTTTATTTTTTATTTTTTCAGTGTCCACAACATCATATTTAACCAACTGAAAATTACACGCCTCTGAAGAGTTCTTTACCAACGATCACTAAAATCATGAAGATGGCGTGGGACTTGGCAACATTTCTCTTTGTTATACTAAGGTCGCCATGAGTTGGAGCCAACTTGACAGCAACTAACAGCGACAACAAAGATTTCTTTGGAGTCCCTGGGTGGTGCAAACAGTTAACATCTCAGTTGCTAACCAAAAGGTGAGAGACGTTTGAGTCCACTCAGAGGTGTCTCAAAAGAAAAGCCTGGCAATCTACTTCCCAAAAATTGGCACTGCAAACCCTATGGAGCACAGTTCTACTCTGACACGCTTGGGGTTGCCATAAATCAGTATCGATCTGACAGCAGCTGGTACTGGCAAAGATTTATGTAGGTCTGAATAAACCAAACAGGGTATTAAATTGTATTTAACATGAATCAGCACCACCATTAACTACAAAAACAACCATCCACTTTGTTTCTTCCTGCCCCACACCTTCCTTTTACATTAATCAATCAGAAGGCAAAGGAAGATCTTTATCAGGGTAATGAAACTCCAAGTGGTATTTTGGGAAAACTGAGAAGCAGCTAGAAAGAGCAGCTTTTGGAGAGACTTAAGGCTACAGACTCAGGAACAAAGGGTGGTGATGGCACCACTGATCCATGTTAGAAAGTTCTTTTGGTTTGCAACAGCCCGTTTACCCCTGCCTTACGCCAGCGAGCACAGTGGCCTGAAGTGTACAAAAGCTACTGTGCTTTGTGCTGGACTTTCCATCTTTGGATTTCTTTTCCTCTTTAGAAAAAAGAAAAAAAAAGTCATGGAGGCACAGTGCTGGGCTAAACCCTAAATTCACAAAGCCCAGCCATTTCTATCTCAGCCTTTATCTATGGCATTTCCCTTCATCAACTTAAAGGGCGTTCCTGTTAATATCACAGACAAAATGAGAGGTCGCTCCAATATTAAGCTGCTTTATGTTTCAAAACGATGAAGCCTCTATGCTGCCACCCTTCAGAGCAGTCACCTCCCTCTATTCTTCTGTGAGAGTCCCCCTCCACCCACCCCACTCTGTACAAAATCTGTTTACCAGCAAGCACAAGAAAGCCAGCCTCGTCACTTCAGTCACAAGACGCTCTCCTTTGGCCCACTACCTTTTCTTTCCTCCCTCAACTCCACTTGTCTCCACCCCCTCTGCTTCCTCTTTTTCCCTTGCTGGATCATTTACTTGCCCTCCTGGCCCAAGAGCCCCACAAGACCCCACACTATGCTGGCACCGAGCCAGAGCTCCCAGGGAGGGTGTTTTTGGGGTCAGATGAAGACAAGCGTGCCTTTGAGGGAAAGGCTTCCAAGGAGCAAAGCAAGAAGCAGACTGCCTGACAAAAGTTCCTTCTTGTACTGCCTGCCTGCCTGCCTACTGAGGCTGAGTTTCACTCACAGATTGCTGGAACTACCAGGAAGCAGCTCGTGCTAGAAAGAACACAGGCGCTGGGGACAAAGGCCCTGTCTTGTTACTGACCCTTCGAGTCATTTCTTCCTCAATTCTGACATGGGAAAAACGATGCCTGTGGTAATTATTCGGAAGATAAAATGAGATAGTGTACATGAAACACAGAAAAAGAACACATCAAAGACGTGTTAGGACGCATCTCAAAAATCTACCCAAGATTTTTCATCAGTCCATTGGCTCTTAAAATCATAGTTGAAGACAGTCTTCTTTTTAAAAAGCCTTCTTTGGAGTCACATTCCTTTGCCATTTAAAAACAAAAAAATTGAAGAAAGACACCAGCTGGCACTACACTATATATGCTCAAAATTTTCAAGACTAAGACTGCTAGTCTTGGTAATGATTTGTTTTTTGATGTTTTTGAAAGATATGTGACCATTATCTCTGTTTGTAAGATTTTTTCTGCTGGAAGGGAACATATTCAGGGTTGCCTATTAAACTTACCAGAAACCCAGTCACAGAAGAAGCTGAGAACATATACTCACCAGGTGAAATAGGCCTGCTGGAACTCGGAGAAGGCGTGTAAGGGATTGGGCTGGACACAGTGCGAGGTCTTAGTCCTTGAGCAGACATCTCATTAAAATACCTAAGAGGAAAACAGGAGGACATGATCAGAACTGCCTGTGTTTAAGTAGTTAAGAGAGCGTCCTAGAGAAAATGTTTGGGGTTCACATCATGAGGTCAAAATCCTGATTGTTTAGAGTGGTGCTGTAGCTAGGGAAGATTTATAAACACGGATTCCCAAGTTAATGCTGCTCCGCTGTTTGGCATGGCTCCCTCCACAGGGCACAGGTTAAGGAATCAAGGATGTTTTAGCTCAGGATGGAGTCCTGTTGACAGCTGTGCTATATACAGCAGAGAGGACCCGCCTTTCCTCCATCACACAGCAGCTATGAAGAAATTCACCTCCACGGTCCCGAGAATTACAAGGGTGGCCACGTTTCAGTAGCTACATTGAACTTGTTATTTGAAACTCAAAACAGACAAGCCCACTGGGATTTATGTCATCCAATTAAAGCCTAACAATACCTATCCCCATGAGCTGAATGTCCACTGTTTACAAGGCAAATCTTGGTTACCATATTATCACATTAAAAAAATCAAAACCAAACCCACTGCCGTTGAGCCGATTCTGACTCACAGCGACCCTACAGGACAGAGTAGAACTGCCTCATAGGGTTTCCAAGGCTGTAATCTTTACAGATGCAGGCTGTCATATCTTTCTCCTGCGGAAAAGCTGGTGGGTTTGTAACACCAACCCTTTGGTTAGCAGCCAAGCACTTAACCACTGTGCCACCATTATATTAGGATGTAACAATTACATCCTAATTACATTAAAAAACCCCTTGATGTAGAGTTGATTGCAACTCATAGCAACCCTATAGGACAGGGTAGAACTGCCCCATAGGGTTTCCAAGGAGTGGCTGGTGGATTTGAACTGCTGATCTTTTGGTTAGCAGCTGTTTCTCTTAACCACTATACCACCAAGGCTCCCTACTTACATCAGGATATAATAAAAGACACGGGTACAGAGCTTTATTCCAGGGCCCCACTGAGACACACCATGCTGATGCTAGCTTCTTCCTAGATCCAGAAGTCACATGGGACCTGAGAATGCTAAAGGGTGATCATCATGAACTTCAGCCTTCACTTTGTAAACTGGACACACAATGCTGCCTAGGAGAAATTTCTGCTTAAGAGACTTTGTAATCAACCCAAGGAAGGAATGCTCCCATGTACATGCATCATCATCCCACAAGGCCTCAGCCCTGCCACGCCATCAGTTCACACGAGGAACTTTAACGCCACCACCTTCTACTCAGGTTTATTCAACTGGAACAAATTCTGGCTTGCTAATCTGACATGCCTCTCTCAACTAGACGTCGTTGTTGTTGTTCGTTGCTGTCGAGTCAGCCCCAACTCATGGCGACCCCATGCACAATGGAACAAAACTCTGCCTAGTCTTGTGTCACCCCACAATCACTTGTAGATCGAATCTTTGTGATCCATAGGGTTTTCATTGGCTGATTTTCAAAAGTAGATTGCTGGGCCTTCCTTCCTATGCTTAGTCCAGTAAGTCTGCTGAAACCTGTTCGACATCATAGCAATACACAAGCCTCCACTGACGGATGGCTGGTGGCTGCGTGTGAGGTGCACTGGCTGGAAATCCAGCCCAGGTCTCCTGCATGGAAGACGACAATTCTACCACTGAATCAACACTGCCCTCAGCTCAAATAGATAAAAAAAACCAAACCCACTGTCACTGAGTCAATTCTGACTCACAGCGACCCTACAGGACAGAGTAGAATTGCCCCATAGGGTTTCCAAGGCCATAAATCTTTACAGGAGCAAACTGCCACATCTTTCTCCCACTGAGTGGCTGGTGGGTTCAAACTACCGACCTTTCAGTTAGCAGCCGAGCGCTTTAACCCCGCCATTCATTCCTCCTACGATCTTTAAAGCAGCCCACATGGTAGCACCATGCTGGACTGTTCCTTATTTTCTATATCCAACTAGGCAGCTAAGACTGGCTCTTTGTCTTTAAGGGAAGAATAAATACACTTGCAGACAGCTAAGTATCAGACTATTTTATTTCTCCCAAGTGTGACATCATCATTCCATGTAGGGAGAGGAGAAGTAATAACTGGGCAGCTGTACTCTACCTGGAAGAATCTGACCTACAAAAGGCAGTCTGAAGCCGTCTCAGTATTGTCACCAAGAAGAACTTGTCCCTCAGAGTTTAGATGGTATTTACCTAAAATGGTTATAGGGGTCATGTATGTTAACATGGGTCTGCTCCATTAAATTAATTAATTTAAAAAGCAGTTCTCCACATCTGAAAAAGTAGTTATTTAGTGTTCCAGGCAATGTTTTTAGTGATATGCTTTTCAAAGGATAAGGACTTTAGAGAGAATGGGAAGCTCTCAGAAACCCATCAGTGAAATTTGGAACTTAAGGGTGATAGTTTTATAAAAGGAAGGAGGGAGGGAGGGAGAAGGGAGTAAAGAAGGAGGGAGGGAACAAGGGAAGGAAGATCTAAATGAGAAACAAATGTTGAGACCATTTCCCCCATTTAACCTACAGATGACACTCTTATTTCAGCCTGTTCCCCAGTGGGACAATGAGAGAGCTTGATGCTGAGGCTTGAGCACATGAATGCACTGCATTTATTTTTTCAAAGCAGCTGCAAAAAGGCTCAAAAGTTATCAAGTGTGTTAAGGTAAGGTCTCAGTATTTCAACAACCACCACCTTTCTCCTGCTGGTTCTTTCAACACGTGTATGCATTTGTCTCCTCAGGCTCCACCAAAGCTTACTTTTCCACATCTATGAGTTAGGATGCTTCCCGTGCTTTAACCAAGATTAGAAGAATTCAACAAATGCAAACTCTGCCTCTCTATCCATAACCCTGCCTCCATTTCTCTCACCACCAAGTAATCTTGGAAAGGCGATTCTTTTCCCTTCTTCTGTGTTTAAGGAGAACGTTCAGTCTTCTTTACTTGTTCCATTCTCAGCATCTAGTTTAATGTGGTGGTGTTCAACGTCACAATGAATAAAACATGTAAGCTGCCTCTCTCCACATCTACCAGGATGTGGAGAGGCCTCCTGGGGCAGGGTTTATCTACCAGGCTCAGAAGACACGCACATACCTCTCATCATCCATTTCTAAGCTGGACTCGCTCTCAGAGAGCTGTCGACAGAGGGCTTCTCTTCTCTCCATCTCCCTCTGCAGCTTCCTCTGCAGCCTCAAGTTCTCTTCCCTCATGTGGCGTTCCTCCTCCAGATACTGTGCCATTTTCTCTGAATCTGAAAAGCCAGAGCTCTCCATTAAACCAAGCTCCTTGCACTCATTCCCAAATCTTAAAAAAAAAGAAGACGGCAGTAGTTCTCACACACAGGTACATGCGATCTGGATTTCAGGTGCCCCCCAAGGATCAAAGTTTACCAGTGACTTGCATTTAGAAAAAGACATAGAAGTCGGTGAGGTTAGGCATCTTCTCTCCCACTCGCTTGTATTCCAACGTGTTTTAAGTGGAAGAGGAATCCGTGGAACTGTAGCTAAGTTTGGATGTGGCAGCTACTAGAGCTCCACGTGCTGGAGCTGGAAGCGAGGGAGCCAAGTCGGGGACACAGATTCTGCCCACAGTCTCCCCTGAAGGCACCAGTTCTCTTGCCCCTCAACTCCAGATACAACATGGTCAAGTGCTCTGTGGGAGCTTGTCACACTTGTTAGCACCTTCACCTTGCACAGTGCTGGAAGCACACTCAGAACCCTGTGCTAGAAGACCACTCTCCAGAATGGTATTGTTTTTATAATAATAGGAATTGACATAGTAAGCGAGAAAACCTTAGACAGACAATTTTTGGTGTGCACACGATCCTCTGTTCCCTTAACTCATTTACAGCTCTTCTGAGCCTGGCAGTAGGTGAAGACCTGTACAGCCAACACCTCTTGGCACAGTGCCTGGCTCATGACAAATACTCCTTGCTCAGGAGCTGCCCCCATATAACCAGGTTTCTACTATAGCATCTGTCTCCCAGGTCAGGGCTGATGACCCCTGTGCTAGGCTCTGGACAGAGGCTGAGCCAGTTGGATTCTCTCTCCCAGAAATCTGAAATGTGGAGCTGACATCTCCATGAGCCTCTAAAATCTCCTTCTGCTGAGTTCTCCGGAGGGGCAGTTCTATTCTTTCCTATAGGGTCGTTATGAGTCAGAATCAACTCGAAGGCAACGAGTTTGATTTCTGGTTGATTATAGCCCCTGCCTATCTGAGGTTGTCTTTCTAGGATTCTGTGGCATATTCCAGCAGTCTTCCAATAAATTGCAAAATATGGCCCCTCCATTTCTAGTTTACCCTCACAGAATCTGTTGCTGCTAGTCACCAAAATAATATAAATACAAAACTCGGTGTCTACCCATCTACTTAATTCCTCCCTTTTCCCTGTCTCAGCCAATGAACCTGGGAAAAGTAAAATTTCCATATGCTTCTCTTTTCTAAAAAAATAACCAGATTCACAGTGGCCATGACCGTGTCTAACCAAGAAGGAGCCCTACAGGCCATTGCTCCGTACTGAAGAAAGAAGTTTAAGAAAGAAGGAGCTGAAGGTCATGTTAACCATTGCTCTCCCACAAAACGACCCTTCTAGAACTCCCAACGGCCATCAAATTAGTTACAGCTACAGTTAGTTATGAACAACTCTGTGAAGGTTTGCTGTTTACCAAATAATATCTTTTGATAATACTCAATGATTTCCAAGGCAGCATCGTTAAAGAACGTATAAAAGTTCTCAAATATGTTCATTTTAGAAATTCAAACAAAAATGCCAAAATTATTAAACACTATTATGTGTACAAAACACTAAATCCCTCAGTTTTCAATACAGCCAGAAACCCTGCTGGCTAATCCAGATGCAAAAAAATCTCTTTAATTGAAGGCATGCTGGGAAAATATTTACAAAATACACTTTTAATATAAATGATTTAAATTATTTCATCCCAAATATGCAAGCATGCAGAATTTCCCAGTAGCTCTAAGAAGCACTAGATTGTTCCCCCTCCTTCCCCCTTGGAATAGTGTTTCTAGAACCAGAGGGGGAGTATCAGAGCAAGTTGCCCTTCTTTTCCATACATAGGAAAGATTCTGAACTGAGGATTCATGAGTCTCCAAGAGTCATACTTTCTTTATCTTTCAAAGAAAATGGCAATACTTTAATGTCTGGGGAATCAGCAGGGGATCCTTAAACAAAAATCTATAGACAAGAAAGTCGTCCCGATAGATGCCTGGAAGATTTCCTGGTAGTTCAGCAATGAACACAGAAGCTGGAAGCAGAAAGAAGGCACCAAGTCCCACACCTCCAGGTGTTTCAGACTCGGGTTCAGATGGCTGCACCTTGGCATACCTTGAGTGCCCCCTGCTGACACACCTCCACATCTGATCATTTCAAGCCACATCAGAGACCAGCCTACTAGCCTGTCAGCCTCCTACCTTCTCTCAAACAAGGCTTGCTAGTACTTAGGGGCTCCCACTTACATTCCCCTCCTCATCGGCCATCTCACAACATGCAGTCAAAGACAGTAGCAACTGAGGATGACTTTCAGACAGACCCCAAAGAGTGGTTCCCCGATGACCCAAAGGCGGCCTTTACATTTTGCATTCCCCTTCAAATGTTTGGTCAGAAAACAGCAATGCAGGCCCCACTCCAGACAGATTAAATCAGCATCCCTGAGGATGAGGCCTCGGCACTGGTATGTTAAAAGCTCCTCCAGTGATTCCAATGTTCGGCCAGACTTGCGAACGCCTGAAGAGAGGATCAGGTTCAGACATACTTGGGCTTGGAGGTTGGGGGACCAACTGCCACAGCTGCATCCAAGGTTGCCGAGGGTCACTGGAGCTAAGGAGGATGCGGCACACGGATACGCAAGAAAGTCAAGTCACCCTCTAAACCCAATCCAAACCACAGGAAGCAGCTAAGTGCCATTCACTGTTGCTTCAGATCAGCTCATTCTCTGTCCTCACAGAATCAAAATACCACTTATGGGTGCCTCTGTTGGTATCTGTAGTCCCTTCATAGTGCAATGGAGAGGAAACAGTGGGAATGAACACCTCTTTCCAAGTTTCTTCTAAAAATTTTGCTTGGGGCACAACAAGGCAAGTCTATATGAGGAAGAAAAACACAAACCAGTGGCACCAACAAGAGTTCAGAATGGTGCTAAAATAAATCTGCCTGCCCAACACAGCAAAAACTCAAAAACACCTTAAATAGTTATTTAAGAACACCTTATCTCATCTGTTTTCCTGGAATACATACAGCGGTTTTCAACTCAGGATACACATCAGAATTGCCTATACTAAAAACAAATACGAAGGACCAGGCTCTACCCCTGGAATAAACCACCCTTGGAATAAGAAATATGAGATGGACAGAATAATGGCCTCCCCAAAACATCCACATCCTAAATCTCTGAAATCTGTTAATACGTTGCCTTCCACGGATAAAGGCACGCTGCAGTTTTATTAAGTTAAGGACCTTGAGATGGGGAGATTAACCTGCCAAATACAATCACAAGGGTGCTTATACGAAGAAGGACAGTCAGGGTGGAAAGGAGATGTGACCACAGAAACAGACAGGAGGAAGCGGTCAAGAGCCAAGAAATGCACGTGGTTTCTATAGGCTGGAAAAAGCCAAGAAAATGGATTCTCCCCCCAGAACCTTCCAGAAGGGAACAGTCCTGCCAACACCTTGATTACAGCACAGTGAGACCCATTTTGGACTTCTGACCTCCAGAACTCTCAGATAATACATTTGTGTTGTTTAAAGCCACTAAGTTTGTGATAAATTTGTTACAGCCGTCATAAGACACTAATAGACTATTATTTTAAAGGTTACACAGACGATCCTGATGCACCACTGGACTAGAACGTGCAATGAACTTCAGAGAGGAACATCTAAAGATAACTACTGACATTTTAAATGAACATTCTGCTTGACCCAGCAATTTCACTTCCTGGAATTTATCCTGAGGGTGTTCTTGCACAGACGTCAAATGTGTGTATGGAGATGTTCACTGTAGCATTTTTTGACATAGCAAAAGTTCCGAAAACCACCTAAAAAGGTCCCTCAGTATGGGACTAGTTAAATAAACTATGGCCTATCCATGATTGAATACTATGCAGCATTTAAAAATGGGAGTAAGGCAACTCTGTATGTGTTGGTGGTGGTGGTGGTGTGTGCTGTCCAGTCGATCAACTCACAGCAACCCTATAGGATAGAGCAGAACTGCCCCATGGGCTTCTAAGGCTGTAATCTTTACAAAAATAGCTTGCCACATCTTTCTCCCACAGAGCAGCTGGTAGGTTCAGACCTCTGACCTTTCAATTAGCAGTGCTTAGCCACTGCACCACCAGAGAAAAAACTTCAAGATACAATAAGTAAAAATAGAAAGGTGTAAAAAAGTATGTTCACTGTGCTACTATACACACACATATATGTATCTTGAAGAATATATAAAAAATTTGTAATTGTGGTTGGCTGGGGAGCAGGGTAAGAGGGAGACTTATTTTTCACTGCAAACCTTTCACTGTATTATCTGTTCAAACCTGTTGCCGTTGAGTCGATTCTGTCTGTTCAAAAAATATATATAAATTTCAATGGCGTAAAAAGCAAATATAAGAGAGATCCAAGAAAACACACAGAGACCTAATCAAGTATTCAGAAATCTAGTTCCTTTGATTTCCAACTCAACGTCCTGGCTTTTCCCAAAATAGTAAGTATAAATTTCTAAAGTATTTATTCTTCAAGTACCAGAATAAATGTCAGCTGGAGCTAAATTTAATAGTCGAGAAGGTAAACACTTTACTCTCTGCCTTAATTCCCCAAAAGTGCATTGAAGGCTCCCACAATGTTCTTGTTAGCATAGTCCTAGACATCAATATGGGGGTTGGAAGGGGATATTAAAAATATTACCTCTGATCTCTGGACCCTCCTGAAATTATTAGAATTATGGTCTAAAACTATTTTAAACTATTTGCCCTGCCCTACTATTATACATCATCTACTCCAATAATAATAAAATCATTTACTTCAAGATTGTTTACTGGGTACAGGATTTCTTTCTGGAGTGATGAAAATGTCTTAGAACTAAAAAGCAGCACAACACTGTGAATGTACTAAATCCCACAGAATTGGACACTTTAAAATCGTTAATGGTTAATTTTACCTCAACAAAAAAGTGCAAAAAAAAAAAAAAAAATCCCTGTACACACGTTTCATGTCTGTCCAAGAACACCTTCAGGACAAACTCCAGGAAGCGGAACTGCTGGCTCAAGCAGAACATAATTTAAATTATCAGTAGTTCTTGTCTTCAGATTTTCTTCTCTGAGGTACACTGCACGTTCTAATCCAGTGGTGCATCTGGGATGACACATCAAGATCCTCTGTGGAGTCCCTCTCCCTTTCTCTGTCATTAAGCTGTGTGCAGCCAACTTCCATCCCTGCCATGTCTTCTCACAAGACTTTTAGAATCAAGAGATCCCGGGCCAAGAAACAAAAGCAAAATTGTCTCATTCCCCAGTGGGTTTGAATGAAAACTGGTAATAAAATCCAACTACAACTCCAAGAAGAGACCCTGGAGAAGAAGGAAGCTGGATCTGTTAAGGAGTCGCACATGTGATGGTATACAGATTAGTGCTCTATCAGGCTCACTAGCATCTTACCATATTAAGCTGAAAATTTCGCCACTATATGAACAACGGAACATGTTCTATTGGGAAAATTCTGATTTCTTCCCTTGTTTTTATGCTTCTGCATTAAAAAGTGGGTTCAGTAATAAATACGTCAGACTTTTTGGAAAAAAAAAAGATTATCTATGGAACCTTTAAAAAAAACAGCGTACTAGTTTCCCACAGCCGCTGTAACAAACTATTACAAACTTTGTGGCTTACAACGACACAATTTATGATAGCATATATAGATTTATGTAAACATGTAATCTGTGATAAAATACAATGTGGATTTGATTAATGCAAAGTCAAAGGTAAATATCAGTAATATCTTGCGTTTGGTTCTGTATCACAAGACCAATGAAACCAGGGGCTACGTACGCTGTAACTGAGCAGCTCTCAGTTGCTTCTTCAGCCTCTCCACTTCATTCTTTAAGAACCTGATGTGGCGCATCATGTTTTCTGGCGAGTCAATCTCCATGGAGATATCTCTGGGTGATGGTGGAGCAGAGACAGGCTGGTCTAATTTCTCCTGCAGGATTCTTCATTGAAAAGAAAAATTCCAACAATAAAAAAGTTTGCCTTTAAAAGATAAAATACTAGCTGGAGAGTTTGTTTTAAAAGCAAGCTCCTGCTAATTGCCAGAATCCACAAGGCAGCTTAACTCTTCTTCCTGTTTTACATCAATTTCTGGTTGCCCTTACCTGGTATCTTGGATCAAAGGACAGAATTAAAAGATTCACCCTCTTTTTCTTCTTTTTTTGCTTTTAAATGACCACTGTTAATTGTACCTTTAATATTTGGTACCGGTTATTATCCCTGGTATACAGTAGGCTCTCAGAATTATCTGCTGACTAAATGTTCAGCATGTTGGTTTTAGGGTAAGGAATTCCTCTCTCTCAACACTTTTGGTTGGAACTCATGACCTACCTACTTTAAATGTCAGAGTCCCTGGGTGGTGCAAACAGTTAAGTGCTTGGCTACTAACTCAGCAAGCAGTTAGTGGCTCAAATCCACCCAAAGGTGCTTTGGAAGAAAAGCCTGGCAATCTTCTTCCAAAAGATCACAGCCATTGAAAATTCTATGGTTTTCTACTCTGACACACATGGGGTCGTCCTGAGTTGAAATCAACTCAATGACTGTGAACGTCCTTAGAGGTTGGAGGTGGCAGTCACATAAAGATTTAGTTACTACAGTGAGAGAAGAGACTCAACTTCTAAAATCCCCTCTTGGAAAACAGGTCCCAAGGGCATGCATTGACTGAGGGCCCTTTGCTTCTGGCTGTAGCAGAAGTCACTCTGGGAGAGAAGGTGGCACCACCAGTTGTCAGTATTAGGTTGAATCATGTGAAAGTGCCAATGCTCAACAGCTTTTGACCCACAGAATGACGATTTCATATTGTTTCAACCTGATAATTTGATACTAATATAGGTAAGGCCTCCAACAGCATTCTGCAAAGGAACAGATCTCTGTTCCCTTCTACAAGTTGTCAGGTTCTTTGGTTTTGTTTTGTTTTTAACTCTTTACATCTGAGTTTGCCCAGGGCCAACCTGTGAATTAACTCCACGCCTGTCACTACTGAAAAAATTGGTAGGTTAAAGATTATAGTGGTTTCTATATTTATTGTATTAAATAATTTTTTATAATTCTACTATTACTACCACTACAGTAATGCAGAGCCTAGCTGATTCAATTATGGCTTGAATATTCCCCTGTAGATATATCTCTAATGTTCACTGTTCTTCAAGCTATATGGTATGTCTATATTTTGCAGATCTAGAGAGGAACTCAAAACAATTAACTGACATTCATCTAAGCCAAACATATGGCAGAAGAACTTCGGTTAACCAGCAAAAAACCCTTGGTCAGTGTATTGATACACATTTTCACGAAACTCACCTTTTCACCCACATACACATTCCACATACAGAACCTACCTGCCATTCTTAAAAGTCTTGCCCCACCACTCCCAAAGCACGCAGTGCTTTAAAATAAAGATCTGATAGGATCTCGCACAAAGGGGTTCAAGAAATGTTTGCTTGTTAGAACTGAATGACATGTCACATCCATGTATATCATTTAATTCAAGGAATCTTAATCTTAAAAATATGTACAAGTATTTCTTTACAGAAAGTTCTAAAAACAAATAGATAGCTATTTTTCCATTAAAGTCTCAAGCTCCCTAATGAAGTAAATTTCAGAGACACGTAATAATTAACACAGTACATCCTAAGTACTTTGGAAAACAACTGAGGAAGCCAGTTCAATAAAGTTAAAACTGCAGCCATCATTCCGAACAATTTAAAGGTAAACAACAGCACCCATGACTAATTTCATCATAGGCTTGTAACAGCAAATGAAAAAGATATCCTACTGGGATAGTAAAATGGAGAAGAAAACAGACGGCCAACGTGGGAATATTCCAGAAACCTTTCAACATTCTTTTTCCATTAGCAAATTAAAATGATGTGCATCAAGCAAGGAATTAAAATGTCCCATTGGTCACCTGTTGTTATCCCACGGTCACATCCAGAACAGTACCCTAGACAGATACACACACACCCCACACACACCCTCGGTATGGAACAGGAAGACTAAACAAACCGCTTTTCAGCTTCCAGTTTATCCATCCTTTTCCAGAGACGATTAACTAGTGCTTCTTGTTCTTGTTCCAATGTATTTTCAAGGTCAATCTTCTCTCGTCTCAACTAAAGGAAGGAAAAAAAATAGTTTTACTGAGAATCATAAGCCACTTAAACTCTGGTAATTAGATTTTTTGATTGAGCAACTAGGACCTCCACACTTAGAGAAAACTGCAAAGAAGTGGCCAGTTTTCTGGCGCAGACACATTAACTGCCTCTAGTTCCTAAGCTTTAATTCAGAAAACCAAGACAGATTCATTCATTCATTCTTAGATGTTAACGCTTAATTGTTGTGTGGAACATGAATCACACTTCTTGTTTCTGCATTTATTCAAGACACATAGAACGTCTTCCTTGAAGAGAATCTGCGGAATTTCTGTACACTAGTCATATCAAAATGTATCTGGGTTTGTCCCCTTAGTCCTATGTGTATTCAAATATTCCACATCAAACCAGAAAGGATATGTTAACATTTTTATAACTCATAAGCACCTGAAAACAAGTCTACATACTGGTTAATGGATGCACATAAATATGTAGTAAAATACAGAAACATGCATAAAAATTATAAACAACCAATTCACAATACTGGGCTGTAAGGAAGAAGGGATATTTGATTTGGGGAGGGAGCCCGAAACTGCATTCTATTTCATAAAAAGAAGCAATCGTGGAAAAAAATCATTTAATTGATCAATACCAAGCAATACTGAATAAATTCTGAGAACAATGCCAGGCAGTGGATAACAGGGATGTAATGGTGAAGCAAAGAATTAGGAATTTCTACTTTCATGCAACTTATGTTCTAGTGGGGTCAAGAGAGTAAACAAAGCAAGTAAATTACATACTTTGATAGAGGATGAAAAGTGATAGTGAAGAAAAATAGGACTGGTAAGAGTAAATACAATAATAAACAGATTTCATAGCAACAGGTAGAGTGAATGTGTTATTTCATTTTCTGTACTTGTCTATATATTTGAAATATAATTGTAAAAGGAAATTATAAAAAAAGAGAGAAAGGCTCTGTTCCTGTCCCCATAGTGCCTCTTCAATCAATGGTAGTTTACCTTCTCAAACATTCAACAAATTGTTAGGTCAACAAATTATTAATTACACAGCCGCAAAGATGCCAAAATGGCAGATTTCACATGTCCCTAATGGTCATATGGGCAAGCTCCTCTGTGATCAGAGATCCCTTGTATATACAGTAAGGTTGGACCAACACCATGTAAAAGTATAGTCTTTTAAACAAAGCATCAAACATTAGGCAACAACACCAAAGTACAGTCTTATTTATTTTTTAATTTTATTGTGAAAATATACGCAATAAAACATATGCCATCTCAATAATTTCTACATGTACAATTCAGTAAGATGGATTATATTCTTCAAGTTGTATAACCATCCTCGCTATCTTCTTGCAAATCATTCCAACCCCCATTAACATAACCTCAATGTCCCCTAAGCACAAACCCCCTTCTCCCACTCCCTCCCACCCCTGGTAACCACTAGTAATCTTTGGTTCCTATATTTGCTTATTTCAAATAAATGAGATCATACAGTATTTGTCCTCTTGTAACTGACTGACTTTGCTCAGCATGTTTTCGAAGTTTATCCATGTTGTGGCCTGTGCGGTTTTTTTTTTTTTACACCAAAATGAACATTCTCCTTTCTGAAACATCTCTCACAGTTTAGTATTCATGCAAAAACAGCACAAATTCCAACCCCTACAAATGATCGGTATGTCAAATCCCCTCAGGATCATTAAGGAACCCAAAGAGGGTAAAAGATCTGTCCATAATCACACAAGCAGCACAGGATAGGTCTATGAAGGCAAGCAGCTACTTGTTCCTTGTCTGAGCCAGAACGAGTATGTATAAAATCAGTTGTCTTGGAACCTAAACAATCAAGACTTGAGAGGGAATGATGTAAAGATAATAAATGATCACTCCTAAGTTGACGGGGATAAAAGCTCCAGAATACATGGGAGAAAATGTTCTCATCTGACAACATTAATCTCTTAAGTTTTCCTTTTCTCCTTCCAATACCTAAAAATAGCTTTAGAAACAACTCTCAATTTGAATAAAGTAACTCCATACCATTAGGTACATTTGCAAAGCACCAGCCACTAGACTCCCTGTAAATTACGCTTCTCTGTCTCAGAAAGACAGCAGAATAGAGTGGTTATGATCACAGAGCTTCAGCCAAATGCCTGGGTTCAAATCCCAGCTCCACTAATCTCTAGATGGAAGATGTTTGGAAAATGACTAGAAACAATTTCATCATCTGCAAAATGGACGATAAAAAATAATGTTTGTCTCACAGGGTTATTGTGAACATAAATGTGTTAAGCCATGCAAAATATTGATAACTGCCTGGCACTTAGTAAGCGTGCAATACTTGCTGGCTACTATGATCACCGTTGCAAATATCTGCTTTACTTCTGCTCAGTTTGCTAGAATGTAAGTTCCCCGAGGCTAGGGGTCACTGGTGTATCCTCAGTGTCTAGAACAGTGCCTGACACATAACAGGCCACCCATAAATATCGAAGAGCTTATTTGACAAGTAAATGGGCCAAGATCAGAGTCAACTGACAGTACAGCTTCAAAATATTTTCTTTGCATAATAGAATGTGACTCTGAAGAACAATTCAAGGGCAAAAGGGAAGGAGGTCGTCAGAATAAGTCAGAAGTATTCTGTGCTGGGAAGTTGGGAGCAGGCTAACTCTCAAATGCTCCTCAGAATGTTAAATAGCTCCTCCCTGCAGCAACGAGGGGAAATCCTGGAACACCTCATAGAACTCCTATTGAACTCTGTGATTCTCTGGGCTCATGACATTTCTGGCCAACATTTGAAGTACAATTCACAGTCATTTCTTTGAAGAAACCAAATTCCAAGGCTTTCACCTTTTAAGGATCCTATTCCAGTGTTTAACTAAAAGCTAAAAGCATTATAGGAGCTACGTGGTAAGCAAGAGAAATGAAGTAAGGCATCTTTTTGCAGGATGTGTGGCAGAGAAACTGGGGCCCAATGACTTTTAATTACTTACAAGTACTTTTAATTTTAGAGGAGCTGTTGTTCGTCGCTCTTCACTGCCTAGAGTCGGCTCCACATCAGATGCTAATCAATAATTCTGCTATGCAAAATCAAGACGAAGCTGTCTTTACTCGTGTGTAATTTACTAGGCACATGGTTGCCCTGGGCCTCAATGTCCTCATGTGTGAAATGAGAAGGTTGGCCTAAATGACCTCTGAGGTCCCTTCCAGGGCTACCCAATTTCAAGATGACAGCTGTCTTCAGTCACAGCCAGTTCAGTCACAGACATTTAGAACTAGCCACAACAAGAGAGATCATCTAAATCCAACTTTCGTTTTAGAGTTGAGGAAAGCACTGGCCTGAGAGATGATGTGATCTGGGCAAAGTGATACCACCCGGATAGGAATGGATATTCGCCACCATCATGGCCAAAAGAGCTAGGTCCTGTCCAACCACCAACCAAGTACAGAGGATCTTGAAGGAAAACTGGAGTTGGGGTAAATTATGTTACGCTTTGTGAGCCGATTTCCTTTGCCAACAATACCTGGAGGTGGCAGAGTAGGTGGTAGATGATGGTGGGGAATGAAGGATACCTTAGGGAGTTCGAGAGTGTGTAAGGAAAGAGATGAGAGAGCAGGAAAATGAGGGTTGAAAACATACATGAATCTCAGATTCTTGCTGGCATCTGTTGGTGGAGCTGGCCAGCTGTCAGTTTACTGCTCACCTTAGCAAATCCAGGGCTCCCTGGCTGTGAAACTTAGGTTTGCTTACCCAGTTTGCTCTACTGATTTATTTTCATAAAGCAGACAACACAGAGCAGACCCCAGTTCAACAGCCTGGATTCCCTGGTATTTCATGACATAGGCTGCCAGTCCTATGGAAGTCAACATTATCTTAAGCCTTAGAAAGAGCAGAGTGTCTTGTCTTGTTTTTTCCTTTTCAAAAACCTCAACTTCTCAGCATTGCTGAGGCGCTCTCACTGACATCAAAGGACAGCAAAACTAGAGGAAATCATACTAAGCCACCTGATTAATTCCCCTCAAGTTCTTTATCACCCTCTCATCCACTGCCCACCTAATTCCACATCAAATACACCAGTCCTGCCAACTGAGGCAGAAGCAGGTTTTCAGTGCTTGGATTGTCCTGATCATCGATCAATCCTCAACCCTGACTGTGTATGTTGAGTTTCTAGGGTAATAAGTCAGTAATTCTTGCTTGAACGGAAACATTAGCCCGGTGACACCTTGCTTTTGTTACAGTGGTATCTGTAATATTCTTGCCAATCTCCTTCTTAGAAATATCTGATCACTCTTTCTATTCCAACCTCATGCAGCAGGCACTGACCCACCCATCACGAAACATCAAATTTTCAGGCTAACCGAAGCTCCTTCTGACTGTGCGTATTCTGCAAGCACTCAGCGCCAATGAATATATCTAGTTTATAGAATATTCATTTCAAAGCCTGCTTTGTAATTAAGTCAGCCCAATGAACTGTCATATTCTTTAGCTCTCTCATTGCAGGTTAATTAACATCAGACGAAGAGTTCTTTATCATGTTCCCCAAATAAATATAGTATTCCTCCAATGGATATACAGTGTAAAAAAATACAGCTGGCTCATTTGAATTCACAGCCCCTCCTGGCTGTCTTCTCAACAGACACCGACCACCACCAAAATAGCAGAAAAAGCAGGCGCACCAGAGACAGTGGCTCCCAACACTACCATATTTCTTTCTCACTGTATTTTCCATTTAAAGGAGATTATGGTGCTGAGGAGGGAGGCCCTGGGTGGTGCAAATGGTTAATGCATTCAGCTGCTAACTGATAGGTTGGAGGTTCAAGTCCACCCAGAGGCACCTCGCAAGAAAGGTTTGGCGACCTACTTCTAGAAAAATAAGCCACTGAAACCCCTACGGAGCACTGTTCTACTCCGACACACACTGGGTCGCCATGAGTTGGGGTAGACTCAGTGGCACCTAGTTACCAGTTACAATGCTAGGTGGGGGTTGGGAAAAGCAGTGCTTGGCAAAAAAG